CAGGACAGCCGCGTCACCAGCACCAAGAGCAAAGGCTTCACCGTCACCATCAACCGGGCAGCCAGCAGCGCCAAGGTGAGCAGCAGCACGGGGGAGTGCCAGGGGGCACAGATGGACAATGCTGGCACTGTCAGCGTCTTCAAGAGGCTGGGCACCAAGAAAACCTAACCCCCCCCCCCGACCCCCTGTCCGGCAGCGCTGCAGGTTCCGGTCTGTTGTGAACGAGCGCCAGTTGTTTGTGTGGTTTTTAACAAAAAAAAAAAGATCCGATCAAGGACTTGGACCTTCATCTTAATCCCGGCCGCTGCGATGCGCGCACACCTCGGGGGGCTTCGGGGTGACTCCGGCATCGGCACCCCATCCCACGCCAGTCGGAGACGGGGGGTCTGTAGACCCGGGGAACATCCGTCTGCATGTGTGACTGGCTTGCGGGGCCAGGAGAGGCCTGTGCCGTCGGGGGTGGGCCGATCAGCCCTCAGCAGGCAGACGGGGCCGATCAGTATTCTGTACAGCCCAGAGCAGCGGAGCGTCGGTGCGAAGCAGTGTTTGGGTTCTTGGGTAAACTCCAGTTTTTATTGTAAACAATAAGACATGGTCTTTTTTTTTTTTTAAGTGTCAAGGTATCCAGATTTCTGCCTGTGTTCTTAAAGAAAACCCTTTCTAAGCCCCTGAGCTCCTGTGTTTTGTTCTCCTCGCGCGCCTCTGCTGCCGGCTGTGCTGCTCCGGGTGCGAGGGCCGCTGCCTGCGTGTGCCGAAGAGGCAGGAGCTGTGCGGACAGCAGGGCCGCTGTCTCGGGGGGGGGCGGGGCTGTTGCTGAGCACTGCACTTTCACGCAGTGGAAGTTGCATGAGTGGCTCAGTAAGGACTGTCCATCATACATTACATCGGTTCTGAAGGCATTAGCAGAAATTTAAGATGGACTAAATTTTACCTTATTAGAACAAATTTAAAGGTAAGTTAAACAGAATTTTGGGATTTAGGAAGAAAGAGTCATGCCTTTTGGGGAATCTGGAAGCTGCATCTGATGGCCCGCCTCTCCTCTCACAGTGCCCAGTGAGGCAGCTCCTCAGACTGCAAGCCAGCTTTCCCATGTGCTCAGTGCACAGTGGAACATATTGCTCTGCTTTTTAAGTTCACCACTGGTCACATTCTGCTCCTTCTAGTATCAAGTCTTACTGCTTCAGCACCAGGGCTTCTGATTGCCTCCTGTCTGAGACGTGTTCCCATTGGCTTTAGTATGCTGTCTGTGGACACATTTCTGTGCCATATGGGAAAGTACTGAAGTGCCCTTTTGTGAAAGAAAACCTTGTGCTCAGGGCCGTGTCCACATTAAATCAGCTGTCTGCCCCAGCAGGGAGGTGCTCCCACGTGCCCAGTGCTGGGTAAGTAGAGTGAGGAACTGTTGCGCTGCACTGCTCTGCGCTCAGGGCCACCTCGGCTGCTAGCCTGACACTGTTTTTAAACTTTGCAATGTGGAGAGCGAAGGCGCTCCCATTTTGAGCATTTCAACAGCTTCCCTCCTGGCCGCACAGCTCGGCGCTGGCCGGTCTGAGTGCGCTGGCCTTGTGCAGTTGGCAGGCAGCGGGCTCGTGAAGGGGGTCCGCGCGGGTGCTGTGCTGGACTTGGAAGCATTGCAGGAGAGCCGAAACAGATGTGAGGGTCGTCACAGCCCATCGTTTGCTTAAAATACTGGGTTACAGTTAGGGGTTTGCAGACTGATCAGAAATATGCATGCTGTGTGGTGGGCAGGAAGGTCTGGTGTGTGGTGTTTTGGGAATTCCCCAGCTCTCCAGTAGCTTTTCCTGAAGCTTTATTCCTCAGTGCATCTGCTCATGGTGGGTAATCTGGGGCCGTCGGTCAGTGGCCTGTCAGAGCCCCATTCTGAGGGATTCAGAATGCTTTCATGTCTGCAGAAGGCGTTGGAAGTACTGTCGTGTGTGCTGTCGAGAGAGCTAGGCGAGAGCATCAATTTTAGATGAGCTGCAGTCTGGAAGCTGACGAGCCGATGTCATTTCCAAATGATTCAGATGACTCATGAGCTCCTGTCAAAGCTGAAGCCTGGAGAGAAAGTCGTCCATTAACTTCAGACACTGGAGCGCAAAGAAAATTGGATCCACCCACTGTGCAAGATGCCAGTGTTGCTGCATTTTGCTGTAGTGTTGAAGAGAACTGAGCAATATTTGCCAGGCACTTTTGCAGTGAGCTGGGCACTTTGATGGCGATAATTCTGTTAAGAATTCTTTAAATCCTATTAATATTAACCCTTTGGGATGTGTAGGTGTAATCTTCAGTTTTGTACCATTGTGTGTAATAGCACTGTAGTGGTGGTGCAAGCTCGCACCAGGGTAGCTGCTGGAATTGGGGAGTCCTGGAGCTCTGAGGCTGCATCCGGAGAATTTGCACCCAGCTCCCCAAGAGCAAACTGCTGGCTCAATTATTCTGCCTTCTGACCCAGGTCTTCACATGTTGTCTAATGAAATTCTTAGCCATGTGCAGCTCCTCTGTGCAGTGACACCTGCTGGTAGCGAATTGTACTGCTTGCTTGCTTGCCTTTACCTCATTGGTTCTTGCACTCCAGATCAAAATTCATTGAAGTAGGTCACAGGTTTAAAGAACCTAGGATATAATTTTCTTTCACTCTATAGTTTATAATATATTTTAATTTCACATGAAAATTAGAAAAAGTTGAAAATTGTTAAGTTTATATTTTAAGTATACCTTAAAAAAACCAAGGTTTGACTAAATTAAGTAGTTGTACTTAGATAATACTTTATTAATCCCGTAAGGAAATTGATTACTTAAGTGCCTGTGTTTAATATGTATTTTCAGTATACCTTGTGAAAAATCTAGCTCCCAAAGTTAAGAACCACTGCCCTAGGGAAATCGACGACTGAGAGAGACTACATGCCAGGTGAGGCCAAATGACCCATCCAGCCTGTTTGGTGGTCATTAGATAATTGGTCCAGGATCTGGGTCTCATCCAACAATTTCTTGAAAGAAGCTGGGGTATTGTTTTCACCAATGTGGCTTGCTTAATGCCTGCACAACTCTTTGCGTAAGAAGTGCCTCCTGTTCCCAGATTTAGACGTACATCTACTTGTGTCTTCTGTTTTGGGATTTACTTCTCATTTTCAAGAAATCTACTCCCTTGAGTTTCAAGAGTCTTTGAGGATTTTGAGAACTTGTATCAGGTCCCCTCATAATCATCTTCCTTGAAGACTAAAGAGGTTCTTTTCCTTCAGCAGTTCTGATCTGTGAACTTAAGTTACAAAGTACATCAGGATCTATCACATACATATGTATGAGGAAGAGCAGTGGTTCTAATACAGATCCCAGCAGTACTCCACTCACCCCAGACTGAGTATTCACCCACTAATCTGTACTGTTTTCTATTGAATAACCAATTCTTAATCTAAACAATCATTTTCCTTGAATGCCTATTGCCTTTAATGTGAGAATTAATCTTTTGTGAAAGACCTGATCAAAAGACGTCTTAAAATCTAAATACACCAAAACATAAGCCCTAAAAGCTCTGAACAGGCCTGTAGTGCCAAGACCTACCTTTTTTAAATCCATATGAGGGTGTTATTTCCAGATTCGTGATCCTCTAGCTCTGAACTTTAATTCCTTAAGGTTACATGTACTAGGGGTCAGACGTAATGGTCTTTAATTGCTTTAATTGCTTGTCCTTTCCTTGGATGGGTACAGCATCAGCAATTCCCTAGTCTTTGGCTGCTGCCCCTGTGTTAATGGCTTCTGAATAGCGTCGCTTGTTTCCATGGGTACAGTTGGTAAGGTAACATCAGGCCCTGGGGTTTCATTAATCATGAGTGCTTATAGTACCTGAAGCCTCTTCTGTGCTTATTACTAATTATTCAGCACAGAACCTTGTCCTCCTGCAGCCTGAGGCATGTTGTTGACTTCTTCCTTGCTGAACACCTGAGTGAAATACTTTAGTAAATCAGCCCCTTTCCTCGCTTCGTCTAGGTTCTTGAATGTTTCCATTATCGTTGCTGATGTGTTTTAATTCATGCTTATAGTGCTATAGTGCTTAAAGAATGTTTTATTATTAATTTTAGCCTCCATTACAGTAATTCTTTCCATCTCTCTTGGCCTTTCTAATATCCTTTTACCTCTGCTTGGAAATTCACTGTACTCCTTTCAACTGGATTCTGTTTTTAATTATTTGCTAAAGCACTCTTTTCCCTTATTTTTCCTAACTGATTTGTTGAACCAGCTGGATTTTTTTTTTTAGCTTTCAATTTGCTGACTCTTGGGCTACATCTGTTCTGCGCTTCAAGCGGAATTGTTTCAGACTGTTGCTGTCCATCTCCCGCTGACTTCATATCCATCCTGTCCCATTATACTGCTCTTAGACTCTGCTTCATTCCTTCAGTCTGCTTTCCTGAATAAGTAACCTTCTGATCTGGATGCAGCCTGTACTTCAAAGCACACTGTGTTATAAGCACAATTTCCTGATGGTTCTCTCACCTCTGTTGGCCTGACTAGGTCTTGAATGTTTGGGGAAAATGTTGTTATCCTTGTTAACCACAGTGTGTGTTGGACACAAAGGGACATGGTCCCAGGGGGCAGTGTTTTTGGGGAGAGCATGCAGTGACCTGTCACTTGGTTTTGGCTAACGCCACTCTGTACCATCTCTGTGGGTAAGGCAGGGCTCTTCCGCTGGCTAATGTGTGGGTAGGTGACGGGCTGTTCCTGTGCTGGTGTGGAAATAACAGAGCATGGTTACAGTTCTGGTTCCGATGAGCTGCTTTTGTGTGTTTTGTAATAATTTTCCCATGTCGACAGGAGCCTTGTGTGTGCGTGTGCGTGTACATAAACAGACCATTTAAGCTGTGTGTCATTGTGTACCTTGTCACATACAGGAACAAGAATGAAAAGAAACCTGAAGTTCACATCCGAGCGAATTCACCTTGACAAGCCTCTGGTTGCTAGGCAACAAGCCGACAGTGGGGAAGGGGGAGGCCAGGTGATTGCTCTGGTGCTCCTGCCAGCGATGTCTTCGAGGCAAACAGCCCCATTCTCGCTCAAATTCCGATTCTGAGGGCTTGTTTTACAATTCAAGAGCCCGGTGATTTTCTTCATCAAGCCCGCTGCCTCTGATTCTCCACGAGCGTCCGGGCGAGACTGGGTGGGCTGTTTGTATGTGAAAGCTGTTCAGCGCAAAGAAAACGAAGCCTTTGTTTAGAACACGGGAGCTGTTTTTTTTTTTTTTTAATCGCACACTCCCTCCTCCGCCCCTGTCCACTGGACGGTTGGCATGCTGACTGCTTGCACGTCCAGCCCGCAAAGCAAGGCGCACACGCTGACCCTTGTTGACCCTGGACACCCCGGGGTTCTGGGAGTGGCAAAGCTGCTGTGGTCCTTACTTGCTCCTGTCACTCTGCTGATGCTATTTTTATCATCGCTATGGTAACACCCCATTTCAAGGGTGAGAGGAAAGATTGCTTAAGGTGAACGTACTTACAAGGAGCTACGGGGCTTGTAACGGAGGAGGGGAATTCGGTAGCTCCTACACTGTCGTTACCCAGAGCACACAGGCACACAGGCCGGGGCTGTAGACAGTTTAATTCTGCAAAGCGCTCTGCTGTGGAGTGAGATCCGTGTTCTTTGACTCCGAGAATGGGGATGTCTCCAGGGTGTGGAAGGGGATGTGAATAAGGAGGGCAAGAACTAGCTGCACCTTTGACCAGTGTTTGGCCCCCATTGTGGGGAAGCAGATGTTTTCATGTTGGATTTTGATCGGCACTTTGATTTCATTAGGAGTTTGTGTTCTTGCTTTCTTTCTTTTTTTTTTTTTAACCCAGTCTTGTGCTTTTTTCAATCCGGTGGCCTTTGTCCCTGCGGCTCTGTCCCTCCTCATGTTTCTGTCCTGGACTTCAGGGTCCCTCAGCTCGTCACAGCCTGGAGCAAATTCTCCTGCAACTCAAAGGCGCAGGAAGATGACAGTCGGACTGCAGGGTTCTTGCAGAATGTGCTGCAATTGCCTCTTTGAAGAATAAAGAGAACAATAATTGTCAGATTCACAGTCAGTTTTAATATTTCAAAGTGTATGATCAGAGCTTGTTTTTGTTTGTATACATCTTCATTCGCTGTGTCTTCTCCTTACTGGCTGAGTAAGGTTTTAGGCTGGAGCAGAGCAGGGATGGGCAGTTCTGCTTTCTTGGGGCAGCACAGGTTTTGTGTTGTTACTGTTGACAGTTTAGGCCAAGGATGCCTGTTTCAGGTCCTGGAGGGTCTGGGCTTCTGCAGCAGGTTTTCAGTGCCTCTGTAAAGCAGCAGCAGCTCTTAAACAGTTTTCTCCAGTGAAGCCAGTCATGAGCTGCTTCATCACCCCACAGATACACCAGCCCTCCAGTCAAGGGCTTGGGGAGCCCTGCTTTAGGCTCTCAATGTTGTCATTGCGAACAAAACTAGTCGTGTTGGGAGAGGGAAGAAAATGAAAGAATGAAAAGGAAAATGTGCTGCGTCAGGCCTCCCTCTCCTTCTCACTTCACAGCAACACCTCTCGCATTTCCCAGTAGGTGATTCCTCCTCCTTGGCGCTTGGTGTGGGAAGTGATCACGTCCTCTAAATTTAGCCAGAGAGAGTTTATTTTTAACTCTGCAAGCTTGGATTTCAGCCTGGGTATTTGCTGTACTCCAAGGGTCTTGACTGTGCTCTGCTCTTCTTGAGTTCCTGGGGCCTCTCCCCTCGAACATGGAGGATTTCCTGCTTTCAGTCCAGCAAGGGGCTTGTGCTCGCTGTTCACTTGAGCAAGGGGCCAGGAGCGGAAATGGAGTTTCCCCCACTGAGTTCCACCCAGCTCCTAGAATGTCGTTACTCAGCATCAGACGGGCCGAAAGCTCTTCTCTAAGTTTGTACCCACTCTCGTGTTCTGGGGGGAATGGCATGAGGTTCAGGAGAAGTCTCAAACCGGACCCTGAACTCAACACTCGAAGGGGCGCCATGAGATCTAGCCGTTTACCCATGATGACTCGGGATGCATGATGCATATTCAGGCTACATGATCTGCAACTGGGCTGGCC